GGGAGAACAGAACTATTGTTGAATTAGCAAGGTCCATGTTGCAAGATATGAATCTTCCTAAATTTTTATGGGCCGAAGCAATGCATGTAGCAATGTATGTATTGAATTTGTTACCAACAAAGCAGAATAATAATTTATCTCCATTTGAACTTTGGTACAAGAAAAAACCAAACTATGAACATCTACGAGTGTTTGGAAGCGTTGTATACGCTAAGGTTCCTGATGCAACACGTAAAAAGTGGGATGCAAAAGCTAGGAAATACATCTTCATTGGATATACGTATACTCCTGAAAATTACAAGATCTTCGATCCACGCTCAAATTCAATCTTTATTAGTCGAGAAGTTAAATTCCTAGATGGTATTAACAATATTGAGGAAGCTATAAAGCAAGTACAAACAGAGAGTATACGTAATCTAAGCGAAATGTGTCAAGACGAAGAAACAGATGAAATGGATGAAGAAGTTGTACCTGCTAACGAAACAGTGAATGTAGATGATACTAACGAACAAGAAGTTAATGACAAACAAATTGATATTATTAATTTAGCTCTGCAAGCAATAGAAAAATCTAATGAACCAACAACCTATGAAGAAGCTATGGCTTCACCAGATAGGTCACTATGGCTAGAAGCCATGAAGGAAGAGCTTAAAAGTTTTAAAAAGAATGATGTTTACACCATTACAACATTGCCTCAGGGTAAAAGACCAATTGACTGTCGATGGGTCTTTAGAATTAAACGCAAAGCTGATGGTTCCATAGAAAGGTACAAGGCCAGATTAGTTGCAAAAGGGTTTGCTCAAAAATCCGGCGTGGACTACTTTGAAACATTTAGTCCAGTAGCAAGATACGATTCAATCAGAGCTATTTTAGCTATTACTGCATTCAATAAAATGTTTCTTAAACAGTTTGATGTAAAAACAGCGTTTCTTTACGGAGACCTCGAAGAAGAAATATACATCAATCAACCACCAGGCTTTGCTGATAATTCTAACAATGTTTTGAAACTTAAGAAAGGGCTATATGGGCTCAAACAAGCACCACGGCAGTGGAACGAGAAAGTTAAAAGTTTCTTCAACAAGCATAATTTTACTCAAACTAAAGCAGACAATTGTGTATATGTTAAGAATAGTGATCATCTAACTATATGTGTCATATACGTAGATGATGGCTTGATATCTAGTACGTCTGAACAAGAACTACTAGATATATCTAATGCACTGCAGCAAACATTTGAAATGAAATTCGGAGAACCATCGGTGTTTGTTGGTATGGAAATCAACCAAAGCTCTGATCGTTCAGTCATCTCAATCAAACAGTCACACTACATAAAACAACTGCTAAAACGTTTTGGAATGCAAGATTGTAAGCCTGTGGTAACTCCAGGAGATACCAATGTTAAACTGATTGCATCCGAAGAAGAGCCTAGCACTAAAATTCCCTACCAAGAAGCGGTAGGAGCATTGCTTTATTTGTCAATCATTAGTCGTCCAGACATAACCTTTCAAGTTAATCGTGCATCGCAGTTCAATGCAAGATACAATCAATCACACTGGATAGCTTTAAAAAGAGTATTTCGCTATTTAGCAGGAACTGTGGAAACAGGAATAGTTTACTGTCCCAAGCCTGAAGACTTCGAATTAATTGGTTACGCTGATGCAGATTATGCTTCAGACTCAGTTACTCGCAAGTCTACATCAGGATTTGTTGTCACCTTGGGTAATGCACCTATTTCGTGGGCTTCTCGCCTACAGAAGAGTGTTGCCCAGAGTACAACCGAGGCTGAATATGTTGCTATCGCTGATTGCACCAAGGATATACTGTGGTATATTCAGTTATGCAAAGAATTGAACATTCCTATTCAACCACCTATTAGAATTATGAGTGATAATCAAGGGGCTATACTGCTTACCAAAAACAGCGTTTTCCATAAGCGTACTAAACACATTGATGTACGCTTTCATGCAATACGAGACTATCAGGAGCAAGGTTTAATAAAAGTATATTACACTCCTACAGATCAGCAACCTGCTGATATGCTTACAAAGTCCCTCTGCTCTCCATCATTGATTAAATGCAAAGAATACCTCAACATATTCTAAAGCCACTGTCTTACACACGACATCCTAGATGCGTGAACAGCTACAGTCTGGACCATACCACTGCTTGATGCATTGACTTATCCATAACCGTAGACAATCACTTACCATTGTAACCCATTATACCCACGTATTGTTCCATTTGAAGTGTTTAGCAAGGGGGAGTGTTGGTTGTATACGCACTCCGGACCCAATTTTTCGAAATTCTCGATGAAAGAAACCCCCTAAACCCAGTTTGAACCCAACTCAAGTCCATTTTCCGATCCTTATAAAAACTCACTCCCTGGCTATTACGTAACAACGTTCTGTTATAACTTCTTAATCTAACATACTAGACTACCCTAAGCTATGCTATCAAATGATCCTCTCAATAAACCCTTTCGATTGACATATGACTCATAGGAATCGGACCGATTCGGTTTTCCCATAGACTTAACATGGTACGGCCATTCAACTTCGAACCCTTATAACTTCTTTCATGTTCTCTTTAGATCCCTTATGCTTTGAGCATTATTGCTACACTAATTAAGCTCTCTCTAATGATATATCAAACATAGTGATCAGACAAACTTGACTTTGACCGGTCTACCGAGGTCAACTCAGAACATTTCGACCATCGCTAGCTCCTAAACCATAAGAGCTGACCTACCCCTTGCCAGCATGTAATATGCTTAGATTTTGATGCTCTATCGAATGATATATCGCAATCGAGAATCGGACTAACTTTTGTCCCATGCTCGATCCCATAGAGAGATGATTTTTCATCAAGCTCCGCCCCCTGAAAAATAGGTTTTTTGGGAATAACTTCTGAAGGACTGAATCGATTCCCGATTGCGATACATAGTTAGAAAGCTTATTAGAAGGCCTTTCTGGCCATATATCAGTTGTCAAAATCGGTGGCCTACTCGCAGGCCGGTTCCCGAAAAACCGATTTTGACGAAACCTTCAGTAACCATAAATGGAGTCATTTTGAGGTACCTACCAGGGCCTAAACTATAACAGATACACATGCACACGATATACCATCTTAAAGCCCATATCCTGAAGTAGTTTATTCACTCATAAAACCTCATTAAAACATTGACCTGAACTGGCCGTACCCGAACAACCGAAAATTAGCTTAACATGGGATTTCCCATAGGGAAATCCAAACTTTAATAACTTTGTCCCTATTCATCCTAGAGTTATGAAAACACTTTTAAAACACTTCTTTCATCCTCCTGAAGCTAACCAAACACAAAAACAACCTTAAAAATAACTTTAATAATTTTCGATATTTTACCATACAACTCTATGGGTGAAATTTCCTAAACACTTCAAATGTCCCTAATTCCATTTCTATGTATACCTAATCCCTTTCTCAACTGAAAACATTGTAAACCTTACTTGCCTGAGGGCGCGAACTTGTTTTTCACACTTGTAAACCTTGACCTTACGAGGACTCAGTGAGCAACACTTTTGGCTCACTCATGTCCGTTTATAATGTATGACTTTTCAAAACTTTTCTTTAGTTGAAATAAACATATTAAACGTATCTCTTTATTGTATTTGATTGATTTATTGTATTCAATCGTTTACCAACGCTTTCTGTTCTTCCTTGCTGGGTGCAAGAGTTTAAGTTTACTTGTGTTCAAAGTCTATCTTTGTTTGAAAGTAGTTGAAGACTCGCTTGAGTTTAGTGTTTGAAGGCATCTATTTCATCTCTAAATACAATCATCGTGAAAACTCAATTAAACCAACAATATAACACAATAAATCTGGTTGTGATCTAAAACCTCTTTTTCTGAAAATTAGACTAAGTCCGTGTCTATTTTTGACACCCAATAACTTTTGAACCATAAGGTCAATCGCGATCATGTTTTTCGGGGTAATATCCCAGTAGTGCCGACTATCGCATGCGCTTATTAATGACCTAAATTACTAAACGCAAGTGGCCTAAAATCGCGCCAATTCGAACATTCTCATTGCTTTTATGGGCTCAACCATTAAAGGCGATTTCCTCTGGTACCAACAGCACGAACTCGATCAAAATTACGCAATCATTAGTTGACCTAATGCTGATAATGTC